TTGCTTTTTTAGGGATTGACAATGAAATAACCTTGATTTGAAAGTTTATGTTGACTATTTATTTATACAAAACCTTAATGTTAGTAGTTGTGGATTGATCTTGGCATTAAGTGATACAAATTTTGTTGCATTTCGACATTAATGATATTGTTTGGCTAGATCATGTTAAAATTGACGTTCCACCAATATCTATTTATGGCCACGGTCTGCAATCTTAAAGTCATTTTTACAAAATAATATTTTCAAGAATCTTATAATTAAGTTAATATTTTTCAAGGGAAGAGTGTTAAAATTATTTATTTATATCAACTGAACTTATTATTACGTTTTAGTAAAATGTGTTAAATATTGATAATTATTGAACAGAGACTCGAATTATGTATTGGTCAAGTTTAAAATATATACAATAAAGTAATTAGTTTACAACAAATATATAAATATGTTTTCATTTACATCAAAAATAGCTAAAACTCATAGAAAATATACATTAACTATACAATATAGTTTGTCCAAAGTCATAGAAAGTACACACTCGTTATATAATACAACTTACCTATACATGAGTTATATATTTACTGTACATTGTGATACACGCAAAAAGCTGAATATTGCTTAACTATACATGAAGTATAGACTGGCGAATTCAATCTTGATCAACTCAAAATCACATCTTAATAGTCCCAAAATTTAGATATGAAATCTTTTCAGTATTTTGAGTCTCACGTGGGTCTGTTTTCATTTCATGTCATATGTGTATGGGCTAACAATAGTATACGTCTATTGAATATCAATGAATTCGTAATAAAGAGGCACACTAGATTAAGGGTGTGTTTTGTATTAAAGAAAATATTTTACAATTTTTCTATGTTTGATCGGCGTAAATGTTTCTAAATCAATTCATTTTCCTCATATTTAAGGAAAATGACTTTCCTTCTAAAATCAAAGAAAACATTTTCCAAAACTCTACTTCATCCTTTAATTATTTTTTTCTTACCATACCCCGTACCCCGTACCTGACCTCCATTCAAAAAAAATTAAATTCTTTTTAATTTTATTTCCTACCCCTAAACCCCCCCTTCCAAACAAAAACAATTAACAAATAATAAAAAATGAAAAACATTTCAATTTTTTTAAACCCCCTCCACCCCCGCCATTTCCCGTAAAAAAATATTATTTTTTTAAAAAATATTTAAATTTTTCAATTTTTACGCCTACCCCTACCTCTACCCCAACCATCCACCAAATGCCACCCCCTGATTAATTATTTTTAAAAAAAATTGTTTTTGAAAAATATTTCAGGATCGAAAGTCTGGGTCAGGTTCTGAGCAAATCTCAGGATCAAATTTTGTAATGATCTTCGGGATCTCATCCTTGCTTGGATGTTAAGGTTGCGTCCTAGATCAATTATACTCCTTCCGTCCCATTTTATGTAGCAACATTTCCTTTTTGGTCAGTCCCAAAAAGAATGTCACATTTCCTTATATGGAAAGTATTTAAATGTACAATTCCTTTTTTACCCTTATTGGTCCCACTTAATCTTAAAATAATACTCCAATACATTTATGAGGAGAGAGAAAAGTGAGTCTACTTTTTAAAGTGCAATTTGGTAAACATTTCAAAGCCTTTATTTATTTCTTAAACTCCGTGTCCGGTCAAATGTTGCCACATAAAATGGGACGGAGGGAGTATTAATTTTCGGATCATAAATTATTTTTTTAAAGAGTATTTTCCAGTCCCAAGCCAAAAATAAAAGATATTTTTCAATTACCAACCAAACATGAGAAAAATAAGTTAAAAGTCCACTTGTTTTCCAAGAAAACATTTTCCATGGAAAACATTTTCCTTCGTACCAAATACTCCCTAGGATGGCAATGGGGTAAGGCAGAACGGTTGCGGGGCAAATCCGCATAAACCCACTAAGATTTCAATCCGCCCCGTCCCACATAGCACAATTTGTTGTTTCCACCCTGCCTTGTGAAATTTGTAAGAAATTTCAAATACTAGAAACAATAATTTTTTAACCAAAAAAGTCAAATTTTGTTAACTGCTTACTTTTTGTTTACCTGCTAAAATAAATATGTTAATAGTTTTTTTTTTTTTGATAGTTTAAATTGGTTGAATTCGAGGTAATAAATAAAATATTAAATGCAATAGTGATGTAATATCATTTTAATACTTCATTTTTTCTAATTTTTGGGCCATTAAAACATTTTTTTATTCGAAGAAAAAAGAAAATCTCAAATTGATGCAAACCTAGTACAAAAATTAATGTGAAATTACGAAATTAATTTTTTTTATTCATAACCTGCAACCCGGCCCGTGTGAATTTTGAAAAATTATATTTGAACCCGCTTCGCTCCACACCCGCAAAAGTTCTAACCCGCCCTGCCCCGCAAATGATGTAACCCATCCCGCTCCGCCTTATTACCATGCCTAACCCTAAGACTTATAATATATATAAATACGAGACATTCCCTGTCATGATTAACCTAAAAAACATTTTCAGAAAGAGTGAGCAGTCGAGCAAAATGAGAAGAAAACGCAATTCACGTCGTCTTCGACTAGTTATTGATTAGCCTAAGCGTATGTACCTTCTTTTCATTTGTAGTTCACATTATTATACAAGTTTCCTATTTATATGACTATTGTAATTGTGTTTTTCGATCATTTAACATTTATGAGATGAATATTTGTGATTGTCCCCATCAAATTTAATTCTATCATGTTTGTCAAAATCAATTTTTTTCTATTTAAAAATTTGTGCAAATTTAAATTTGATCAAGTGAGTGAATTGGGTAATGGATACATTGAACTTTAGTAAATTTTGAAATGAATTTTATTTCACATTTCATTAAAGAAATTATCTAAGATCGATATTAATTTTATATGAATATTTTGATACAATGTATACCCCATAAAAGATAGGGCTTATATTCATGTTACAATCTTGATTAAAATTCTAAAATTTCCTAATTATGAACTAAATTATCTACCATTCCTCACAATTTAAGAAGTCGCAATATTTCTTTAGTCAATGGCTTAACAAATCAAAGGTAAATCATAAGGAAAATCATCAAATAATTAAGTATTTTAGGACTTTTTTGATATTTCAGGATTTTACAATTCTGAATGCAATACTTTAAAATATTCATATATCTTGCTTGTGAACTAATTTGCTTATTCAGTAAGACTGTATGAAAATATGTTTTTTAACGACTTGAATAATTTTTATGTTTATAAGAAAAATTACAACTTATAATTTTTCAACTTAATTTCATATAGGAAAAAGAGCACTTGTACTGAAAAAAAGGGAAACTATTTACCGTGACTATTCCTTACTTTCATACCTCTATGTTTTTTACTACTAATCACGTTTACTGTTTGATACTATCAAAACACTACTCAATTAATTTCTTGATATCACTAGTATATATATATACCTAATGGCATCAACGAAGAAGAGGCCGTGTTTAAGTGAAAAGATAACTCAATTACTACTTGATACCTCAGAGTATATGAATACCATTAGAGGTATATATATATATACACAACGATGATATGAGTAGTGGTTCAATGAATAGAACAAGAGACAGTCACATAAATAATTTGGGCTGTGGATCCAATCAAAATAAATATATTAGATTGAGTCCATTTTGTACTGTTTTCCTCTTTCATAGGGATAACATGTCCAAACGGGACTTACGAATTTAATATGGTATTTTAAGCAAAAAAAGTTAAACGCTAAATAGGATGCATGAACTGCAAAAATATGCAGAAAATCTGATTATTCTGTAGTTCTACAGTTTAATCAAACCAAGGGTTTCAACGAAAACTGCTGCTAGAACTAGAAGGTCAAGCTTCCCTTTGCGATTGTTGCTAGTCTCTTCAGCAGAAGGTTTTTGTACCTTGAGTTTTGTATGGAAACTGATTATTTTTTTTTGTTTTTGTTGCATGATTCTGTGTGGAGAACTTTGTTTGTTATTGTTCATCTCTTAAGTGAAAGGTTTTCTGTACCTTGAAATTTGTATGCAACTGGATGTTTGTTCTGGTTTCATTTTTCTACTTTTTGCTAGTACTAGTTTTTTTTTTTTTTTTGTTGCATGATTATCTATTGGATCTGTAGCATTTGTGTTTGAGAACTTTGTATTTGTGGGTTTTCATAAGTAGATTCAGAATTGTAAAACCCTGAAGCAATCTTGGCCCTAACTCAATTAAAAACTAGTTAATGTGGGGAGGAGGATTGCTCCAGGTGATATAATTAAGGAGAGTAAATTCCCATCCCGTGAACATGTGGGACTCAGCCAGAATAGGATTGCTCAAGGCCAAAAAGGGCAGCATTAAACCTGCCCAAATAAGTTAAAGGGGAGAAGTTCATGAGTCTAGTGTTTCATTTTCTACTTCTATACCACCACTAGTTTTATTTGCTTTGATTGCATGATGGGTCTATGACATATGTGTGGAGAACTTTGTTTTTGTGGTTTTTTCATTAAGTAGATTCAAAATTGTAAAATCCCAAAGCACTCTGACCTGCTCGCCCTTTAGCGAGGAGAGAATTTTTTTGTACCCAGTCGAATCCTTCCAAAAGGGGTCATATTGAATGTGCCCATATAGGTTAAAGTGTTGAGTGTTTTGGTGGTCCCAATGAGCTGCTCATTTATAGAGCCTTTCCTCTAGGTAATTACTTTTATAGTACTTTAGTTGATTGGCAATGGGCTTATTGTAGTGATTCCGCTAGTTTTTTGGTGGTCCCAATAAGCTGCTCCTTTCTAGAGATTTTGCTCTAGCTACCGTAATATTTTATGCTGTAGTAGATAGGCAATGAGCTTGTTGTAGTGATTCTGTATTTACTTTCGCTAGCCTTTCTGTCCCTCCAACATGATTCTGCATTTTGTGTGGAAACCTTGGTTTTACATTCCTCTTTACAACTGTGCAATAGCAAAACCATGAAGCAACTCACATTGTGAAGTGTCTGATTTTGGTTCTTTATTTTTATTAGCTTTCTTTGCTGGGCAAAGCTTTATTATGGAACCGGAGTTGGTTTCTACAGAAGAAGTGGTGAATGCATTGCTGGAATACTTAGTTGGTCCTCGGTTGCCTTTGAAATCGTCTGCCTTTAAGGAACCTCCCACTCTTTCTCAGCAGCAGTCTGTAGCCAAACAGGTCTTCTTTGGTTTCTTCTCACCCTTTGCGGGTTCTCTCTTTACCTTGTATACTCATTGCGTGGTGTTCTTTTTGATATGATCTTTGACCCTTGACATTTGAAAAAGAAAGCATGCCCGATTTCAGTTTATTTTCTTCATTTATTAACTTGTTATTCCTTTCAAATATTCCTTCTAGTTAGTTTAAGACTTCTGAGGATAAGTTACAGTAGCAGTGTGTTTGAATAACGAGAACAGACTTCCATCTTGTTTCTCAATTCTTATCAACCTGATATAAAGTTAGTCCAGTTGAATGCGATTTAGAAAAATTCTTGGAATGGAGAAGATTAATTCATACGACTTGAACTCTATCTCTATATATAATATATCTATTATTTCAGTTGAAGGTACAGACATTCAATGTCATGCTCTTTATTGTAAACTAGTATGGTACCCGCGCTATGCATGGAAAATATTAGACATAATAATAATAAAAATTATTATCTTATTTTCTTGATCATTTTGTTTTTTATTATTGTTGAATTGTAAAATTTAAATCATTTAAATTTTGATCGACGGTCATTAATAAGGACCACCAAAGAAGGAAAAATGATTTTCCCCACCCTGTAGTACCTTTCAAGTGTTCAACATCATTCAATAATTGTTTACACCAAAAGTGAAACAAAAACAAATAATTCATCTTGATCTTCTATATAGGGTTGTAGTTATCATCAACGCATCTTCGGTTTCTCTCCTTCCACACAGTCACCACACACACACACACAGAGGAACTATTTGCCTCCTCTTTTTCTGTCTTGCAAATCCTCCAGCACTGTTCCAACATTCTAGTAGCCCCCCTGTAGTCTTGGTATATTCCATGTAACTTTTCATAAAATTGAAGTATGGATCAGCTTTGGCAACTTTATAAAAAATTGTAAGTGTTTCCAATAAGATCTCCAGCTAACTTTTGAATTCTTTTCCTTGTTCCTTTTTTCCCTCTTCAGTTGCATGCTGTTGTGTTACTTTACAACTACTACCAGAGGAAGGAAGATCCGCAGGCACAATATTTAGAATTTGAATCATTTTGCAAGTTGGCCATGACTCTGAAACCGGCTTTGATGTCATATATGAAGTTCATGAACCAATCAGATCTAACTTCCTCCAAGGACATGAACAATGATCTCTCGGTGACTGAAAAAGCAATCCAAGATGCGTGCAACATATCTTGCGCTTTGGATGCCTCAAAAGATGTTCCAGCTATCAACAAATGGCTAATTTCCAAAGTTTCTGTCTTATTACTAGACTCTAAGAAAGAAACTTGTTTTCTGAATTATTGTTCTGTTACTGAAGGGGTCTGGTCTCTCATAGAAAAATGTCTTGAGCTTCCCACTGCTGAAATAGAAGGTACGGTGGAGAGAAGAAAGAGGCAAACCAGTATGAGACCAGTGACAGTAGATCAAAAAGATGATGACTCTGGCTTTCAGCAACTTGCATTTTTGGCTGTCAAGGATGCAACTGGTACGTGAATTTCAGAATTATATTTGTAATATATTTCTAGATCGGCAAAAGTAATTTGTGCCTAATCAGCTCTATATTAACCAGACAGTCATAAGTTGATTTCTAAGTTCTTTGAATGCCTTTGCTAGCAACAAGCCTCTTAATTAGAGTTTCTCATGCCTGGGCAGAGAAAGAATTGATTAACAGAACATTGACCTAGGCAGTTGGATCTTTCTGTTCCGGTTTATAAAATGAACTGCTTGAGTTACAGGTGTGTCCTGATTTAGAGAGCATTTTATTATGTATGATACTTTGCTTCATGTGGAGCAGGTATTTCTAAGACTGACCTTGTGACTTTGGAGAAGCATGTGGTATATTCACTCACAAAAGAAAAGACAGCGTCTTGCTTTTACATTATGCAAAGTACCCGATCAATCAATCAAGACATTCTAATTTCTGTTAAGGAGATTATTGAGAGGTTAGTTCTTGTCATGTTAGCTGCTTTGGGTAGAAAATACCTTTTGTTTTTTTTAATCAAGGGTAGTGTAAGAGATGGGCTATTTCAACAAGAACTCTTGTATCTCTAATGTTAGAATAGCACATTTGTTTGATGATACTGCTACCTTTGTGTGAAGAAATGATATAATAGTTTCTCGAGTTCATCAATATTAGTACTTTCTTTGACACAATCTTGCTAGTCAGCAGAATGATTCATTTGTATAACTTTTTTTTTTTTTAAACAAAGACTCATTTGTATAACTTTGAGAGCAACTCAAAGTAGGTTTATGGCGTTAAATATGCTGAGTTTGAAGATTATAGTTTCGTTCTGTGTTGTTATGAGTCTAACATTGATAAACTTAGTCAAAGAACAATATCTAATTATTCACTACGTAAAGTAAATATACATAATTGCTTGTATGATTTGTTAATAGCATTAATTCATGTATTCTGGTACCTTTTGCTACTAGAAAAATGAAAAGTGACAAGTGTTTATCTGAGTAGCTTACAGGGTCCATTGGTGAAAAGGAGTTCTGGTAGTTGGTCTGCTACAGAAGTAGTTGAGTACTTTCATCTGCTTCCCTATGCCAATATCATAGCAACCTTTTTCCTGAGGTACCTTCAATTTCAATTGGCCTTTATTTGTGGTGAGCTGTCAATAGATTTTGCTTTTATAGTCATTGCTGCCTGGCTTAACATGTCTTTCTGTCTCAGCCATATTTGCTTAGTTCCTTGGTATATAGAAGACTTTCAGTTACATCATTCATTCCTTCTGAAGCTTGAGTACATTTGGATACTACTATATTAACCTTTATGATGCAGTTCTTATTCTTGGTTTTTGTTCTTCAAGTTGATACATGTATACTGAAATTGAACTTGAGGGTTGGGCCTAGCTGTTCTTGCACCATTCTACATGTTGCTTAACAACTTTGTGTGATCAAATTGACAAATGCCAACATATGAGTAACTTATGTTTTGTTCTTTTGCTTGATTCCATTAGTCCTAACAAATCATTGAACAAGACTTTTACCGTAAGGAAAATATAAGGAAATTAGTTGTGAATATGGTGCTAAAAGAACATCATACCCACCTTTATTTAGAGAGCTTTTTTTGATAACTGAGAAATGCCTGGCTAGTGGTGCTGGGTTTGAAACTTGGTAGATAACAACTCTGCCCTTCTCCACTTAAATATTGTCTGTGGAAGGGGTTGAACCCATGACGTGCGCCTAACCACACATCACAAGCTGCACTCTTACCACTAGAAGCCCTAGGGATGTAAAGAACTTTATTTTTGAGAATTAGAAACAACTGATTTACTTAGGTAAGTTGGTACTAATTCATCATCAAATTTCTTTTAAGGTAATATACTTAATTGTACATAACAAACTTACTTGCAAGATTGAGCTATTTTCAGTTGAATGATGCATTATAGTGAAAGATTTAGTCCTCTTTAGCTCTGTTTATGCTGGGAGCTTATACTGTATATACTGTATGTATGTGCATAGACCTGATCAAAATATGTATATCCATTGAGTTAAGATGGCGGAGGGGGAGGGGGGAGCCAAGTTAAGATGTATGCATATGTATATTTTACTGTACTGCAGGTTCTTGTGTGTTCCAATTGTTGGGTTGTGATATAAGATGTTATATGACTGGAATTGATGCAGGGAGGTTTTTGGTTTGGAGGGCTCAAATACCAGAAGCCATGAGGATATAACAGGCAATTGTAAAAAAGAAATTTCTGAGAGCAGAATCTCATTGGTTGATCAAAACTCGGGCAATGTAAGCATCATGACTGCTATAGGTTCAGAAAGTGCTTGCAGTAATGTGGCCAATGATGTGTATGACAGAAAGGTCAACCCTGCAGACGCTTTTGGTGCAGAAGTTGTTGCCGACAGTGGGTGTGAAAGGAAAACAGGGGACCAGAAAGATTTTGGGAAGGAAAATGGTCTGCATCATCACCACGAAACAGTGAGGACCCATGGGAGATTTAGTGGTAAAGCCAAAAAGACAAGTGCTAGTAATGGAAACCAGGGCGTTGAGGAGAAGGTTAAAAAGATTGAAGGAAAGACGCCTGATGAAAGTTATGAAGCTTTAATTGGAACCAAGTCAGATAGTATAAACCTTGAAATTTCAGAGGCAAAACACGGTGATGGTTGCCATGAAAAAGTTGGCCATTCTACTGTTGGTCAAGAAGCAACTGCGGTAGGTGGCCCCGATAATATATGGAAAAGTGAAGAAGCAGGAAGCGATGGTTCAATTAAAAATACAGGAATTGTAGATCTCAGTGGTAATAAGCTAACTAATGTCAACTTGAAATGTTTAAATGATACAAGTAACAAGGTACAACATGAAAATAGCAGAGACTATGAGGATTCAACTGTAAAAGAACTGCATGCTATCATCAATCACCCAAGGACACCAGAAGAGAAAACTGAGGAGCTGGTGAAGTCCACCAAAGGCTGTGAAATCAATGATTATAATGATATGGAGTTAGCTGGTGCTCATCTTGAAACTTTGGAGGTGAAAACTAATGATGGTCATCACTTTTCTAGTTCTCCTACTAGGCCTCAGAGGATGGAAATTGATGCATGTATTCCCTTCTCCAAAAATGGAAATAACAGCAAGGATTGTGAGCTCATCAAAAAAGTTTATCATCAGCAGAAAAAGAGGACGAGGGAGAGTGGTGGAGAAATCATTGGAAGTGGTATAATTGGCAAGGTAGACAATTTCAGTTAATGTAGTAAAATTTATTGATTTACGATGCATTAGTCTTGTTTGTTTTTACTAATCCTCCCTTTCTCTTTTAAAGAGCATTCATGAAATTGCCCACTTGGGATGAGTTAATGATCAATATTTCAAACGAAAGAAATTTCATCTAGAAATAGCAGAATTTTATTTTAATAGACCTCTTCTCTTCTTTTCCCAAAAGTTTCTGCATTTGTGTATGCTTTGCGGGTCCAAACAACAGACATTAATCCATCCTTGAATTGCAGTTCTTAGTGATAGATTTAGTAGTAGTGACACTAATAAGCATAATGGCATGACATTAATAAGAAGTAGTAATACTGCTAATTATTATAGCAGAGGTTTTGGATGATACACATTATTTCTTTTAATGTGTCTTCCTCAAGCCTTGTACAAGGGAGACATCCACTTGATACCTTGATCTAGTTGTTGTAATTGTTATTTTGCTTATAAGCAAAACTTGATGATCTTATCAAATAGAAGTAACTAGTCTTTGTAATGCTTCATTTTCCGACCTCTTCCCCTTCAAATTATCATACATTAAAGTGTATAATCCCATTGGTGTCAATAGTGTTTGAACACTTCCCTATTATGGGTATTAGCAATCATTATTACATTATATAAAAATGAATGTGCCAACAAACTAATTTGCCCTAGCTAACATGTTAATTTGCACTTCAAAATGATATTTGGAAATGAATGTATAGGCCTTCACATTTTCTCTTGCTTTAAAGGATCTTGGTGGGGTTGCATTCTGAGCAATATAATGTAACCATGTGTAGGGTTTTAGGTTCAGAGTATGTTAATGTCTAGCTTAGGCAAATGAAGTCAATTTACTTCGAATAATACAAATCAAATGCTTTCTTAGCTTTTGTTTAGTCAAATAAATAGTACGTGATTTTCAGTATATTGTTTATAAAAAAAGTTGGAGGTGCCACTTCAGGATTTCAGCTCACTATGCAATTTATTTGTGGCCGATAGGTATCTCAACCGGCTGGTTGTCGGTAAAAGTTGGTTCTTTTCTATCTTATATTTTATTTTACTTCTGTTGAAGTGGTGTTATTTCCAATTTAAGCCTATCTTTTCTTCTTAATCCATGCAATATATGAAACCTGTGTCGCTATCTTTGTGATTGTGTTCCACATTGCCAGTGAATCTTTCCCTTCTCATGTTGTTACAATGCTTAACTAGCATGGACATAAAAGAAAAAAAGTATCCTCATGTTACTATATTGAGCTTTATGAAATTATGCTTTAGAGTTGAGATAATAGATGAAATGGTAGCTTGTAAAAGAGATACTACAAGAAGTTGATAAGGGAAAAATATCGTGGTTTTAATGTGAGTAGGCAGAAATAATGAACTTTGCCTTTTTGAAAAAAAATAAAGAAGTCAAAAAGATTGGATGAACTAGATTGGATATCTAGGTTTAGGAATTCTGTGGTGGAGGTTATAGTATATTCTTTGGGAAAGGACATACAACTGCTGCCCTTTTTTTTGATGATAGTGGTGTCTAGGCCAAGTTGGGCGCACCTTGACACAAGTACTTGGTAATTTTACCCACCAAGGCTTGGGCAGATGAGAAGAAATCACTTAGTGTTTTTTGCCTCTGCTATGGGAATTGGACCTGTAACCTAGGTTCTCCTCCAACTTAATTGCCCACTAGGTGACTCCCTTGGGTGCCAACTTAAGTTGATATATGTCCTTATCTTTTCCAATTTTTTTCCTGGAGATGGGAAGAGGGGTCTGCATTCTTCATTTGTTGTCATAATTGATACCAAACCTTATTTGCAGGCAGAAAGAGCTGATGAGGTGAAGGCTGATAAAGACAACCTTTCCACTATCTCACCCAATCGAAATGGGATTTCTGTGGCACATACTCGACTTGTTCCTTGCAAGCATGAATCTACAGATATAGGCGATTTACAAACTGTTTTGGCTTCAAAAGAGGAGGCTTTGACAAAAAGTTCGCTTGAAGTTCTTCTTCAAAAACGACAGAAACTGGTAATTTTACGTTTGGTATGAAGTAGAGTACATGTGGTCAAGACATACTAATAGCACTAAGCAAATGACAAGACACTTGACCACACATACTCTTTTTTGAGAATCTTCGTTTGGATTTTTTTTTTTGGAACTGGTAACATTTTTGTGTATTAATAATAAACTACACAAAGGGTGTGTGGTCCCCCATATTTACATCCAGATGAGCAAAAAAATGAGCTCCTAGTCCTTAATCTCCTCATAAGGAATCTAGTACATCATAAGTTGATTCTAATTCGTCCAGGAACTGAGTGTGAACTTAGTTTCTAATTTTGGATTAAACAAAAGTCAAATGAAAAAACAATGAAATAAGATAGATTAAAATATACTTAAGAAGATCGAAGGAAAACGGAGAAACAAAAGTGGCCATATATTACTTATAAGGCCACATTTGTTTCTCCGTTTCCCTTCGATCTTCTTAAGTATTTTAATCTATCTTAATTCATTGTTTTTTCATCTGACTTTTGTTTAATCCAAAATTAGAAACTACGTTCACCCTTAGTTCCTTAAGTTGGACTGTTTTAAGACGAAGACTATGATGTATATTTTCCAAACCTGACCACTTAAAACTTGTGTCAATGTATCAAGCATTTCATCCTTCAAAATGTAGTCAGTAATTTATTATGGCCCTTAGTTATGCACCTTTAATGGGTCAAAAGTCTTGTGGGTTTTTCCTTTTTCTGTCTCTTATGCTTTAAGAACTAATTTACTATTAGTTTTCTCATTTCCAATATTGAAATTCTGTGGAGTAACTTTTTTAATCTGATCACTGGAGCCTACACTTTATATTTGGTTCTCAGTAATATTTGCATTCATTTCTTGGCAGTATGATCAACAGCTTAAACTTGGAGATGAAATTGCTTCATGTGATAAAAGTATTGAGAGAATCTTAGATGGTATGATTTCTATCTGAGGCTTTAGTAGCTTCGTTTTGTTTCAGTTGTTTGTGCTAGCATTACTCTTTTCACATGGCTTGGTACTGTATGGATCAAAAAAAAAATCTTCTGCTTGTTGTTTGTTTTTCCTCCCCCTCTCTTGTTTGATTCTCCTTAAAGAAATATAATGTGAATGAACTAAGTTTCCCTCCCAACTTAGTTGCCTCTGTATCTCCTTTTTTTTTTTGTTTTTGCAAGTAAGGATATTTATTAAAAATGGTATCAAGATGGTACAGAAAAGACTACAGGACCTAAACTACACCACTCGCTCCAAATAATACATATTTTCCCCTAATAAGTTTAAAAAATCCACTTCCATCATCTACAACGGAAAGAGGAATTCTATCCATCAAAGAAAACCAAAAATCCAGCAAGTCTCTAGGAAATGGAGCAAAGAAGCACCCCCACATACTTATCCATCCTATCAAGAGTACAACTATTAGTCCAAACACACAAATTCTTGATACATTTGTTTCTGACTCTGGGTATCTGCAGCCTTCGTATCTCCTTTTAGACCCATTTTTTTCCAAGCTGACGTGATGTGTAGTGGAAATGTCCTAACAAATTCAACCTTTTAGGAGATTCATCATAGCTAGACTGTTTTCATGATGGTTTCCTTTCTCTTGCTTCCTATTCTTTCTTCTTTGTGTTGGAGGGTGGTTAGGAGGTGAAGGGGAGCAGCGTGGTTGAGACCGAGATAGTATCAGGTGGCTAAGTTTCCTTGTGGTGGTCTTGATTCTTCATCAAGTTTTGGTAGTTTCTTGGAGTCTTGAACTGCTGTATCATGAACTTGAACTAAATTACTGCAGGTCAATGTGCTCATGTTTATTTTAATGCCTTGTAGGTGGCAAAGATAGTTTGGCTCTAAAAATAGATACGGTACTGGCCTTCTGTGATGAAATGTGCTTGAAGGATAGAGCTTCTATCCAAGAAGACAGCAATCAACATCACGAAGAGTTTGGCTTGATTCAACCAATGAGCGGAAGGAAATTGTCCAAAGCTGTACACACTCCATGATGTGCATGTCAGGCATGTTTTGGCATCAGAACTTACTTAAATTTTATGTCCTCTTTTATCAGTGTTTGTCTTGATCCTCTCCATATATATTATGATGTCTTGTGCTCTTGGTCAGGCAGTATGTCTGATAATTTGTTCCTTTGTTGAATGATCCTTGGAAATGCTTGTGTTTTTCATACAATATTGTCAGCCTTTCCTGCATGGGACTATATATTCTCTGTTATGATTGCTCACATACTTTAATTTTCTGTTCAGTATCTTAATTCTTACGAAGCATTTACTTTATTGTCATTTCCCCCCACTAAATATATTTTTTTTTTTTGGCTGGACTTGTATAAAGTGTTTCCATCATATAGTGTGTCAGCAACAGTTGCTGGTACGGTATTTTACATTGATGCAATTTTTTCTTTTCTCATAAAAGATGGTGTAACAGCCCACAGAAGCTGGTTGTTAGGCCCGAAAGGGGGTTCATTGTGAAACTTACATTAGGCAAATTTCACATCATAATGGGAGGGGAAAGTTAGGGGTCATATAAGGATTCAACTGTTGAGGTGCCTTTTGGGTTATTACCCTAGAGGAATGCAAAAGCCTTTCGGTGGTCCAGAGTTGCCAAAGTGAGCAATACCTTGGGTCCTTGAGCAGCCCAGAAATCTGTCTTCGTACTATTTCCCACAGTGATCCATATTGCCTCAAAACACTTGAATGTCCTTCGTTTTTTTATTGTGCATTGCTGCTAAAAGAACACCACCTTTTAACAGGAAACCCTTGACATTTCCTTCCCCGTTGTAATTTTCTTCAATTGTTTTTCTGGTGAATTCCCAAGTTTTTTTGTTGTTTCTATCCACTGATGTCTGTGCTACTGAACATAATGCATATTGGGGGGGGGGGGGGGGGGGGTTGTGTTCATCTGTTGGACAAGCTAATAATATCTATTTGTTGTCTGAATCACAATTTTCCCATGATAAATTGCTCACAACCTGATGGAATCTAATTTTATTACATTTAATGGTACCCATTCCTTAAAAATTCCCGATTCAACTAATCCTTGGAGTTCATTTTCTCATAGGTGGATTTCATACTGGAGTTACTGTAAATAGGGTTGGATTTCTACATTCTTGCGAGAGTGATCTGCATTCCAGCCCCCCTCTGAAGCACAGGAGTCAGCTGCATTTCAAATGATTACCCAATTACAGACTATGACAGACCACACCCATTAGATTTAATGTGGCAAAGAAACATCAACACCAATATTTTTGAATCCTATTAATGGCTATCATACCATAGTACTGTATTAGTACTGTCCAGAAGCAAAAATTGTTGTTTTAGAATATTACTTGGTTGCAACCGTATCAGTGCTTTGAACATTTATCAGGGCCAAATACATAATGGTGCCTTGAAATCAACTCTAGTTTATTGAAATGATGTCTATTGAGCACCTATATGTGTTGCCAGTATTGCCCGTGCTTAACTTAGCATTCTGGTTAACAAGTGTTATGCTGGATGTTCGAATCGAACATGGAGTTTTCATGTTGCTTAGAACTATATGCTTTCAGTGTTAGCAGTATCGGAAGGTAAATACAGTTTAAACACCAAAAGTAGAGAGAAATAAGGAGGAATTTAATCTTTGGATTTGATTCGTCTTTCTTGTGGCAATGGTGAACTCGTTAACCAGCTAGGTGAAATGAACTCAATACTTAGTTCAAAATTGTTAAGTTCCATTTTTGGAAAAGAGAATTGAGTTGTGCTCTTTAGCTTTTGAAGATGATTTAGGTTCAAGGACTATAATTTTACACGATATTAGAGCTAGATCCATTGATAGGCCGCGTTTCTTAATGTTTTTGGCCTTGTAATTCTGTTTTCACATTGATTGACTGAATGAGTTGTGCTCTTTCTATATGATCTCGGATAATTCTTTTTCTCATGAGCTAACTTAAGTTAGGATATGAGCTAACCCCTCATAATTTATTCTGGTCTCCAACAGCCAACAACCCATAGAGGAACCAATCAGTTTTTTCTTTTTGTCCTCCTCTTCCTTGCACGAGTGGACTTAGTAAATAGAAAGGAAAATAACAAAAATGTATAAGAAACAAGTCAATCTCTTGGGTCCCTTAATAATCAAAGAAAACCAATGAATGAACTCCAAGTGCACAAAACTAAGATAAGGCAAAGGAAAATAATTTGTAGTAAGAATGCTATATATTGATAATGTTGGTAATAATATTATCTAGAAGCAATCCACAGAAGGGGTGCCACGTGTCAACTTGTAAATCACAAATTGCAAGTCATCACTAATATTATTATCAAGGGACCATGCAAAGTGAAAATAAATAATTCATACTAAGTAGTGAGAGCAAAAGAAGAAAAAAGGTATAGGAGAAAATGGCAAGCACAGTAATGAGCTCATTGAGCCTAAAGCCAGCTTTCACTTTGGAGAAAACATCAGTGAAAGGGCTTCCATCACTTGCTAGATCTTCTTCTTCCTTCAAAGTTGTGGCTAGTGGTGTCAAGAAGCTTAAGACTGACAAACCCTATGGTATGTAATTTTCTATTCTTGCCACTTATTTAATTGAATTAGAGTCTAACTTACATACACAAACAATATTACAATATTTACATTATTAGTGTAGTTTTATTTGTCTTGATAGGTAATTTAACATGTCCATGTTTACTATTATAATTCCTTGTGATTTAGCTTTTAAGTCGTGACCTTAGCTTATAAATAGTATATGAAATATTTTATGTTGTCGATGTATATATTCGTCGAACTCTTGGGAAAAGGTGCATATTTACTCATGTATGTAATGACATGACTTAATTGTATCATCTGGTGTATTTTGGGGCTATATTTATACGCTTGTTAGCGAACCGTCTCGTATTTGTCCTTGATGTTAATTTGAGCTCTAGTTTAGATTGAGAGGATTTCAGGTGTCAGAATACTTAAGTAAAAAAGTTCAAATTTACCTTAGCGACTTTGAATATAGTTTAAAATTAATTACCTTGCTAGTCTAATATACTTCAAGTTAGAGCTATGTCAGGGTCAAGGGCTAATATAAGACAATACGTTAACACAAGGGTATGAATATCTGCTAAGTAGAGAGGAAATTAAGATAATTAATCCTTGTTCTCTCAACTCTTTGGTGAAAGCAGTTCGGTATACAAAGCATCCCATATTAGTAGGATTCAAGAAAGGGCCGCAGCCTAAGAGATGTGATGTAGACAATCTATCCTAATACAAATTATGTCTATATATTTGAAAAAAAACCAGAGATAAAATATTGTAATGCAAAATTAATACTACCTGCTGATTATGAAGTGGGCTTTGTTACTAGGAATTAATGGAAGCATGGCCTTGAGAGATGGCGTTGATGCCTCAGGCAGGAAGCCCAAGGTTTGTTTCTGCTTCTACCTTTGATATATATATAATAATTATCATTAATTAGTAGTAATATAACATTTCAAATATTTTTTTCAAAATAAAAGAATGTAGTATATAGCAATTGCTTTTCTGTAGTTTATAAGTGTGTATATTTTAATTTATGACTTTTCTAATATATGAGCAAAACATGGTGATGTTTAGGGAAAGGGTGTGTACCAATATGTTGACAAATATGGAGCTAATGTTGATGGATACAGGTTAGTTAAAAACTTCTTAATTTGTTTAATGTAATGCTTCACTAATAGAAAATGAAACAAATAATCTAATACTTTGTGTGATTTTGAAAATGCAGTCCCATCTACAACACAGATGAGTGGTCTCCAAGTGGTGATGTCTATGTTGGAGGTATGACTATTTACTCGAACTTCCTTTGTTAACTCGAACTATGTATATACACAACAACGTTAATAATAAAGTCGTACTCATTTTGAATCTACCGACTCTAGATCATGATTCACACATGTAATATAATTGCAGGTACTACTGGCTTAGCCATATGGGCCGTGACCTTGGTTGGCATTCTTGCAGGAGGTGCTCTCCTTGTCTACAACACAAGTGCTTTGGCACAGTAGATATTCTTGTTTTGTACTATTTTAAGTTGTATTCCAGATCGCATCATGTAATCTTTTCAAAAATACTTCAAAATATTTCCTGGCATCTTGATTAATATGTAATTGCTGTGATTTTACTGTGGATAATATTACACCTAATGTTCCTGTTTTAGGTTCTTATAATCTTAAATCTTTAAGTTTAGTCCTGATTGATTGCCTTCCATGAGACTCCACACAGTTATAGGGTAATCCAAGATTTGAAGTGTAAGGTTCCTGCAACGATCTCAAATTAATACAACAATAATATATAAGTTCACAGACAAATATTTAGTAGATTTCTTAATGCATAGAGCTAATGGGATAATAATACCAACGCAACACTAGATGGTACTTCCAATGCAAATGTTACAAGCAAAAATCTTCATTTGCCTCTGGCAAAGATCATCAAAATTTTGGCTAACAGTACAACAAAAACAAAGACAAAATATGCAGCAAAGAGCTAACACTCCTTTTCACCACCTTAACTCGAATTCTTCAGTTTTGGCTAAACGAATACCTAGTCGCCTAAGACGTCCAAATACAAGTTCTCCTGTTTGCCCAACAGGCAACCAGTCAAGCAATGAAGGACGTATGAATCTCCCTCTTCACGCAAAGAATATACATCTTTCTTCAAGAATCTGTAGTGTACAGAAATGGTCTCATACAAAGCAAATCTGGCAGTGACGCTTCGATTTTGCTCATTTCTAATGAAGAATTCAGATGGATGTCAATGCTGGTTGAGAAATGCTCTGTTGTCATAATCAGTCGAAGCAGAACTCTGATTCATGTTATTGCATCTCTTGAAGTGCATCTTCCTCTAGAAGCTGCGGCAGTGGATGTTTCAATGAAGAAGAGCCTAAAAACCCCGTTGTCTCTAGCACTGATGACCGAACCATCTGCTCAGGCAGATAGATAATGTCATCTCTCCGCCTCCAAAATATTGATTAACAGTGTACAAGAAACCTCTCAATATGTTAAGCTAATAACTACGATATATAAAAATATTATCTTCGTGTATGGGTACTATGACCACATAAATACAATTGCTGTCGCTCAAAAACTATGACCACATAAATGGTCGTAGTTTCCATCTGTTTTCCATCTAAAACAACAGCCTACAACCTCAAGACACCAGAACAAATCAGCTAACGAACATACCAAATATGCAAATAAACGTAGGATATTGTTTGGTTATTAGTTCTCTTTTATCATCAGGTTATTTATCCATTTAAACCTCCCAGGTTATGTTTAGATATTGAACTTGTATCTTACACAATATGACAACTAAAACCCTTACAAAATGCACCTAAAAAGGAGGGCATATACCTTTTCTATTTCTTCAGAGAGAAGAGGATTTTCTCTCAAATATTGCAATGCTTTCTCTCGTCCCTGTCCCAGCCTTCATTAAAAGTATCAAGAATCAGTGACTGACTCACACAAGATAAGTAATATAGTAAAACATCAATAAACAGTGCTGAGTCACATAATATTGGTAATGAACCTTGCAAGACTCAGCTCACTGAAGTATAAGACAAATCTTTGATTAATCTTAGGTTCTGCAACAATAATCAGTTGCTCAGACAGTTTTCAATCACATTGAAAGTCAATTTCTTGCTTATTCTTACTACTTTAAATTATTTCCATCAGCAACCACATAAAGTATGAGGTCTATCAATTCTCCTAAGCTGTTTTCTTTTCATTTGAGTATAAGCTCTGACATTTCTAGTACAGCATGTGGAAAATTCCCAGAATCTTGAGTGGTCATGACAAAAATATGCAAATATTTCTGTTGGGATATGGAGTTTCATAAATTAAAAGTTTAGTAAGCTTCTTGGGAGTCCCTATATTATAGGGAAAACTGCAAAATGTACTAACCGATGCTCTCCGTAGTTATACCATGAACCTTTCTTAGCCACCACCTCAATCAGTTCAGCACAATCTAATACACAACCCTGCAAAAAGTCAATTTCAGGAACAGAATTTGAGCCAAACACTAAGGAAAAGAAAGATAAAAATGCCACAAACCAGCTTGCTCACTCCTTCTCCAAACATAATTTCAAACTCTGCTTGCTTGTATGGTCTAGAAACCTAAGAAGGAAAAGAGCAAGACCAATTAGCATGTTGGCACCATAATCAGCAAGAAGATGCAAACAGTAAAAGACCAGATGTATAATGTATACTGGCAATTTCTTTCATGTTCCTGTATTTGCTAAAAGAGATTTAAAAATAAATAGAGGTATTCGCTAAAAGAGACCTCTGAGTGGATGCACCACTAATGTAGCTACATAAAGTCTTCAACAATATACACCAATTTACAATAATCATACAATGGAATCACCATGCTTCTAGTGCAGGAAATCCAATAACCATGATAACCTTTATTATGCAAATGTCAGCTTTATAGTTTTAAGCACTGAACACTTGTATAACTGAACCATTATCATATGTTTTCCATTCCACAAACATAATACTGATGCCACCACATTGAATAATTATGACATGAAGCAGTTTTACCTTACTCTTTTGAACTCTCACTCGGACCTTAATGCCCACTTCCTCATCTCCTTTTGCCTGAAGGGAAGAGTAACAATTTTTTCATAAAGAGACTTAAATGAGTGAAAATAAAAAATCTAATAGCCGACTGAGCAGTTCTGCACTCACAGATTTTATCTTCCCTGTAGAACGGATTTCAAGTCGAACGGAGGCGAAAAACTTCAAGGCAATCCCTCCACTTGTGACCTCAGGATTTCCGTAATAAACACCAATCTGATTCGAAACATAGTAATTACTTTCATTCATCAAGTAAAACCACAAGTTACGATGAGAATTATGCTAGTTTATGAAGTTAATCACAATGGAAGCAAGAATGACAAGTTTCCGTTGACAAGATTATCCATCATCTGTGACCTATAGCTCACGGGTTCTACACGGAATCAGCCACTAATGCTTACATTAGGGTAGGCTGTCCCATTACCTGGACCCTAGTGAACGCAGGATGCTTTATGCACCGGGCTGCCGTTTCAGTACTTGAAAAGAGTACACTGCAATTTCTAAGTCAAGAATACCTTGTATCTTATCTGATTGAGGAATATAAGAGTACATCCAGCTTTGGAAGCATTGCCTGACATTTTACGTAAAGCTTGACTCATCAGGCGCGCTTGTAAACCCATTTGCTGCATCCCAATTTCTCCCTGCACAAAATAAGAGACCAGGAAATCAGGAACTGGTGGGAACAATTTAACTTTCTAATTTTTTCAGAAAATTAAAATGTTGGCTTACCTCAATTTCAGCGCGTGGAGTAAGGGCTGAGACTGAATCAATGCAAATGAGATCTACAGCACCTGATCTACACATCCGGTCTGCGACTGAGACAGCCAAAAGTTTGGTTGACAGTACAAACTCTAGTAAGACCACCATGATCACTGACAAGGTTGCTAGCGCAAAAAATGAAAAATCATTTCTAATGGTGTAATCAAGGGTAAAGTGTTACTTTCTAGAGCCATCTCTCCATTATCAGGCTGGCAGACAATCAAATTCTCTACATCTACTCCAAGTGCTTTGGAGTATGCAGGATCAAAAGCATGCTCAGCATCAACAAGCATTGCATTGCCTCCTAGCTTCTGCATAACAAAATTTAACATTTTATAATCTGTCTCACTTTACATGAGAACATTTTTTAGTAATAAACCTAAGGCAAGTGGTTTCAGTTTATTGGTCACAATAATAAAGTTCCAATGGACACTGGAAGGATTCTAAGTTTGCTTTCTAGACTTCCAAATTGTCCATTATTTTCTTTCCACTTCATCTATAGATATAAGCATATGACTTCCTTTTTCATCAAAATGATCAACTGCCCCCTCCCTTCCAAGTGCAGCCCCATGCCTGTAGAAGTTCCAAACTGATGGGTAGAATAAACCAAACACATACTGCACCTGTACTTCTGCAATAGCATGGAGAGCTAAGGTAGTCTTTCCACTACTTTCAGGCCCATATATCTGTAAAGAAAAATATGAGGAAAGCAATTAGACAACAAATTGCAGCAACCTTGTTAATATTCCACATGCTCATATCAGATGAGAAGTTCAGGATGTAGACAAACATCAGAATCAAATACCCCAGCCTATCAATGAAATAGTTTTCTAACAAAATCACTCTATCAACTGGTCACTATAACTGTTCTATGCATCTTCATGTAGGATTACTTCACTGATGTGTAATCAAAACCAACAATTAGTAGTAATAACCAAGCAGCCAAGCATTTGAAACCAAATAGATGGTGAATAACCAGTAATAACTAACGCATACTGAAAATATAAATGATAAAAGTAGAAAAATTTACACCTCAACAATTCTGCCTTTGGGAATGCCACCACCTAAAGCAAAGTCTAGCGTCAAGCAGCCACTCGGAAAAGTTTCACTGCATAAAGAAGCAGATACACAAATGCTTGTAAAACTGATATAAAACTTTGTAGTCTAACTAGGATCAAAATTTTGTGCAGAATATTTTTCTCCTTTTTCATTTTCTTCTTCTTTTCCCCAAAACATTTCATGTTTGTTCATATGTTTTCTGTGCAGGAAGTTAATATAACTTTTTTTGAATTCAGGAAAAAATTGCATACACCAGAGCTCCGCCAGCACTACCCAATCTAGTAACGCTTCCTTTGCCAAACGAGCTGTTTATATCGTTCATTGCAGCATCCAATGCTTTTTGCTGAAGCAGGAGTTAGGGAAGTCAGTCCCATGGAAATCTTCAGTAAAGCAACATACAGAAATATAAATACACACACGTAGAGAGAGAAAGAGATACCCGGTCGAGAAACCGAGCGTCAGAATCAGGAGAGAAAGCGCCATTGATTTTATGGTCAAATTCCGAACGAACCCTAATTCCACGTGCTGGAAATTGAGGACGAGATACTTTCTGATAGAATTTTACTGAAGTTGAGTAGCTTTGGGATTTGTAACCAATTTTGGAGCCAAAAAACTGAGCTTTCACTGGGAAAGTTAACTCCATTAAAGTTTCTAGCTTAAAGCTCCGTTCTCTTTGACTACAAAGTTCAAGCGGATTGGAAAATATTGCTATACTTAAGCTCAGTTCTCCTTGCTGAAGAAGGAGCTTAGGCTATGCTGTCGTCGGAGTTCCATGG